ACAATCATAAACGGGGAGTAAAGTGTCCAGTTTGTGTATCATTCAATTCAGATGGTTTTACCCAGAAGCAAATCTCTGGAAACCCAATCTGTGATAGATAGAATGATTGGGGCCGAGAAATATCTGAGGAACATATTCCTATTTAGAATCCTTCAAAGTAAAGTACAATATAAGATGGAGACAAAATACCAATCCACTGAAACTGAATCCAGAGACAGTAACTTTAGAGAAAAGCTGAGAAATGCTAACAATCATCAGGCTTCAGTTCTCCCTTTAAGATGCAGAAATCTGGATATACATCTAACATCCTGCAAAGTTATACTACTCCTACATCATTTTGTTCAAGAAATCCTATATATGAAAAAATAAAGTAGGAGTATAATTGGAGACTACTCAAACTATTCCTTCGCTTCCTTTCGTATAAATTACGATTCCTTGTAATGGCCTGGAGTTTTTCCTCCTAACCAGTGATGCTTTCCCCAATTTTCCTCAAGTATAGTAAACCTCAATGACAATTGTTAATGCCATCAAAAGCCAAAGAATCTATCTATCTAATTCACCCAAAGACATGTCAGTCATGATATACCTTGTTAGCAACTCTATCATGGAGGATAGACTGAAATTTACCTTGTGATCAATTCCGTCCATGGATGCTCCAACATTTGCCACAGTCTACATAGACATAGTTATTTTCATAAGTGTTAAAGCAAATAAAGTATAATCAGCCTAACACATGTTGAACATGAAAAATATGCACAATCCAAAGACATTACAATGATGATACAGAACTCCTATCAAAATTGGGTTTCAAACTAATGTTCGATGGTAACGTGAAAGCTAAGATAGAAAGAAGAAGCATTGATCCTCCTTTTTTATGATACAGAAAATAATTCTCAAGCTGATGTGAAAATAAAAACAATTGGCGTAATGAGATGGCATCTAAAATATACCATGTGCTGAAGTCTTCCTCATTTTCAGTCCTTCCAACTATACCGATCTTACTTCTTATCTCGTCCTCAAGTCCCGCAAAACAGTTGACCATAGGGATTGAGATGAGAGAACTCACCGTACGTTCATATTTTTGGAAGCCCAAAAGCCAAAATCAATTGTATGCAAGGTAACAATCAAACTCCAGTCTTAAACCAGTTGCTCCGGAGTAGGGATTTAAACCATTTCCAGATCAGATCGAGCATCAATGGTTTACTGCTGTCATAAACTCGAGCCTTACGCCAGGAGCTCCAGAGTAGGGATTTAAAATCTCCAAATTAGGTCGAGCGTCAATGGTTGACTTTGTCGAAAACTCAAGCCTTACCGATTTCCAAACCATGCCAAATACTTAGGGTAAGGAGTGGAGGCGACAAAAGACATTGTTGGGGCCTCAGAGGTGTTGGAAGAGAAGGGAAAATGGCTACCTTTCATTAATTGTTGATAATACTTAGGGTAAGGAGTGGATCCGAGTCCCGCACGGCAGCGCCACTGTTGTCCACCGGTGTATCTTCTTCAATTGATTTCACGGAGGATAACTTCAATTGATTTCTCGAAGACGAATGGGGAAGAAAGGATTGTCGGAGAGTCCACGGCCGTTTGTCCAGCCGCAACAGCCACCGTCCCTACCTTCTGTTGTTGCCCCTTCCCAACATTTCTTCTAGATTCATCTTCCGACTACAGTTAAGCGGGTTCAGAGGAAGCGCAAAGAAGGGGAAATCAATTTCCCTTCGATTTTCGTGGCGGTGACGAAGATAGATCGGCGGGGTAGGAAGCTCCTCTCCTTGAGTCGTTTCCCTTTCCAGATCCATCTTCGCTAAGAGCCCTTTGCTTTATTTCTATCCCGTAGAAAATAAATGAGGGAAGAAGAGAATGAATGGTCGCAGAACAGTGAGAGAAATTGCAGAGATGAGAGAGAAAAATCGAATGGCTGGGATTGGCTATCAGACTGACTGATCAACGGCTATACTTATCCTACCCAAAGTAGTCAAATCAGGCTCAGCTACGACTGCCCGCAGGAAATAAAAAAAATCCATCAGTGAACAGTAAATTCCGATTTTTTCTTAAGGAACAGTAATCTCGATTTATGGTAAATTTTTTATACTTGTGGTTTAATAATTCTAATTATTTTTAGTAATTAGTTATACTCGCCGAATAATCCCACTTATAAGATACACCCGATATGCTATATCTCATTCAGACAAATAAACATCCATTCATCACCACATGCCATATCACATTCATCATCTCAAACTCAAAGAATTCATATGTTCACAACATAAGGACAATCACACAGTCTCTTGATAACTTATTGTAAAAACATGTATGCATCAAGTATCACATCATACTAGCATCACCATGTAACCTTGTCCCAACATAGTGAAATACCACACCATCCAATGGTAAATCATTGTATAAAACACCATAGAAAATAATCACATAACCATAACCATCATCCTGGACATGCACATTTCGTATACCACATAATAGGAAGTCATCACTTAACCACATCATAAGTAATCTTTATACAATGATTCAATCACATGCATGGTTAGGTTGATTCAGTGCTTTTTACTTCTTAATTTGCCAAGTCATACACTCCCTGGGTAGTACAGTAGATGTCCTATATACTATAGCGGATCATACCTAGATTGGTGTCCTGTAAATCCACTGTGGGGTCATACCCGGATCGATTATCCTGTATAACAACACGGGACGTACCCGGACCAGTGTTCTGTAAAAGCAACGCGAGACCATACCCTAACCGATGTTCTGTAAATTCATTTATTGTACTGATTGCACAACAAAACGCTTTTATATTTGTATTAAATTATCATACAATTCCAGTTACAGTCAATCACACATTTAATATGTGATGATAATGTGAAGCAAAGACAAAGTATCTATATAACTAACCTTTTGTTTTGATATTAGGGTAAATACAATTTAATATCCAAACCTTTCATTTTAAACAATATAATAGCCAAACTTTTTCGAAAACAATCTAATATCCAAATCGTCAACTTTTCGTTCGTTTGACCGTTAGTTGACACTTCAAAAAAGTTCGAAGTACGACGTTTCATCAATATCCATCGATATCTTCTCTGAAAAACCACCAACATATCGTGGTTCCAAACCCGAGAAGTCCATGACTCCCCCATGATGGTATAGAATATCTGAATATTCAGTCATCTGCAATGCCAAAACAAGAAAACAAAGTTGTATTGTGACAATTTTCCCTAAACAAAGCTTTTTTGAAGTGTCAACCAACGATCAAACGGACGAAAAGTTGACGATTTGGATATTAGATTGTTTTCGAAAAGGTTTGGCTATTATATTGTTTAAAATGAAAGGTTTGGATATTAAATTGTATTTACCCTTGATATTATTCATAAAATGTTGAAGGTAATATAGAAGCATAGCAACATAGTTTGGTTGTACTTTAATAATATAATGGTGGAAAAGGCTAGTGTACACTCGAGGTGTAATATACACCTTCGTTCTATTATGATCAAGCCATCAACCTTGCCCTTAGACACGGTTCAACCATGGTTCCCCTTTGAAAAATGTCATTTTTACCCCTAATTTGATAATTCAACCTTCTCCTATATATGCTTTGTAGAAGAAAAAAAGAAAGAAATAATGCCCAGAAAGCACCCTTCCAAATGAAATCACACGCTCCAGCTTCTTCTTCCACGAGAAGTCTCTCCACCCTCTCCTCCTGGTTCTGACATTTCTCCTACTGCAGATGGGAGATCACGGCGCCTCTGTCGTGAGGGGCGAGGCTGGGGATTCAAAGCTTCAATGGGGTTTTGTAGCCTTTCCCCAAAACTGGTTTCATCCAACACCAGAACCCCTTGGAGAGAATGGAAACTGAAGCAAAAGCGCTCCCTAACAATTTTCCTTCATCTCCTCCTTCTTCCAAAATGGGCTCCGCTTATTTAATTTTTGACCCCAGTCTAACCTCGCACGACGACGGCGAGGAGACCAATAGAGATGACGAAAGAGATGACTTAAACGACGTCGTCTGCAATTAAGGAGGAATGGTCGACAGCGGTGAAGCGGAGAATCCCGGATGGCGCGAACAGAGCAGCGACGATGAAGTTGAAGACCCAGAAGATTCGAAGGGATAGATAATGGAGGAGAGCTCGTAACCTTCGCTCGTGGACGATTAGCACGACGACGACCAGATGGGTAGCGGCTTGGGTCAACTAGCACAACCCATTGACCAGCTTCCAGTCTCCCGGCGACGCGTTGATGAATGCAGGGGATGACATGTAGACGGCGGAGAGGGCGGTGATGACGAGTGCGACCTTGAACCAAATGTCGGTGGTGACCACATCTGGAACGGTGGGCGGTGGTAGGAGGAGTTTGTCTACGTCGGGGTCGGAGAAACCACCATTACCTTGACTCCTCCGGCGGCGGGAGGACAAGAAGTTTTGGAGGGCGAAGACGGAGAGGAGCAAGAAAAGGATTTAGGATTCACGTTAGAAGAATTGGGAAAAGGAAAGAATGGGGTACTTTTGGCATTTCTCATCCCATTTAATTGTGGTCAGACCGGTCGAACCATGATTGATCATGGTTGACGAAATTCTGACGGAATATTTAACGGAAGGACAAGATTGGTGGTCTGGTTATAGTAGAGGGATTAGTTTGATGTGATTCATAGTATGAGAAAAAATCAAAATAGATGGGCAATTAATCCTATTAACGCTAAAAGAAAAGATACAAACAAATGAAACTCGACGTGCACACAAAACTAATACATAGTATTGAACTCATCATTTATAAGGAAAACTTGAAATGAATGAAAGCAAAATGTGAACACAAAATAGACAAAATCAAATATCAAATGATTGGCCTCCTCCTTTCTTTCTTTCTTATTTTTTTTATTTTTTATTTTTTATTTTTTAATTTTCTTTTCTTGTCCCTTTCCGGGGCCAGATTTCAACGTTACGTATCGGGAAGTTCACATATCCATTTCCACGGCAGCATTAGGTAGCTGTCAATTGCTTCACCAATCTTACAATAATTTTTACTCAAAAACATTAATTTACAGAAGAAGTAGATAGGAACCCCTCCACTCTCCAGCTAGCATTCTCTGCTAAAATGACACCCTCTTGCAGAGACGCTCTAAGGTTCATCTTCCTCTTATGGTCATTTTAGCCTTTTAGGGTAATTAGTAGGGAAGGATGAATCAGCGCCAGTGACCAATTTCGTTACAAATAAGAAAAGAAGGAAACAAAATCAGAAGCAACATCGTTAACAGCTCATCTCCTGCGTGCTGTAGAAAAGGAGGGCGAAGGGGACCCATGACGGCCAGACCTAGGAGGAGTTGACTTGGTTGGTGACCTCTCAATTTCTCTAAAGTATATATATACTTGTTTATTCAGATTCGCCTTCCAGATTCTACATCACTGTTTTTCACTCTCTACTTCATCTCCCATCAGCACGCGGAATAACTTCCAGCTTCTGGGTCTGATTCTTTGATTCTGGAGAAAGAGGCTCTGCAATATAATAAGGTAAAAGAACATAGAACACCGTAGGGAAGTTGTTATGATTCTCCGGTGCCTGGGTTTGTGATTTCCCCAAAGTTCCAAAATATGGGGCAAACCCAGTTTGTTGTCTGGTTGTGGAGAATGGGACAAAAGAAATTTCTTTCCTTTGTGCCAAAAACCAGAAGCCCTCGTGGTTTTGAGATGCTTTCTTTGTATTCCAAGGGGTAGGAAGAACCCAGTCAAAAGGAATAGAGTGAGCCAGTATTGTGTTCTTGGTTTTGAGCCGCTTTTTTGTGTTTGCATGTTTCGTTTGTTGACTTTGATGCCGTGGAATTTAATGGCTGGTTTAGTCGTCGCTTTGGCACTCTAGTGGCCGTTATCGTGATCGAATTCGACTCTCAACTTCCCACAACAATTTGCATAAATTCCATGCTCTGTTCTCACTCCTTTGCATCTCGGCAGTCTGCAGCTTTTGTTTTTCCAGTTACCATTTCTCTTACCAATTAGATTTCTCTGAGGTTGGAAAATGAAACTGGGTTTTCTTTATTTTCTTTGTTACTATGCGATATCACTGTTTCATCATCTAACTGTGAATTCTGATGCACGCAGGCAGGGAGTAGGCAGGCACTTTTTGCTTCTGTATCTAAGGGCTAAAGCGATCACTAATGGCTGAGATGGCCACAGAAGAGGAAGAATTTCTCACCAAAGACGGAACTGTGGATTATGAAGGGAATCCTGCTGATAAGAGGAAGACAGGAACCTGGAAGGCCTGCCCCTACATCATAGGTATGCAAACCTTCTGTCTTCTTGATAGTCTGATGGGTCATGTGAAAAGAACAGATTTTGTTTCTCACTAGCTCCAGATTTGATTTGATATATAGGAAATGAATGCTGCGAGAGATTGGCTTACTATGGCATGAGCTCCAACCTCGTGCTTTACTTCAAGAACAGGCTCAACCAAAGCAGCGCCACTGCTACCAAAAACAACTCAGACTGGAGTGGAACGTGCTACATCACACCCCTTCTTGGAGCATTTCTGGCCGATGCTTATCTCGGTAGATACTGGACCATTGCTGGCTTCTCAATCATCTATGTCTTTGTAAGTTCTCGCTCTCCACCAAGTTGCACCAACAAAGCTTGCAGTTCATTGACCTGTGAATGAATGATTTCTATAAACTGAACTTCAAAAAATACTTCACCAGGGGATGACACTTCTGACTATGTCAGCATCAATGCCTGGCCTGAGACCAGCATGTACTGCAGAGGACAAGTGCCAATCCACTGATGGCCAGAGCGCGGTTTTCTTTGTAGCTCTCTACATGATAGCTCTAGGGACGGGAGGGATCAAGCCTTGTGTGTCTTCCTACGGGGCTGACCAGTTTGATGATGCTGACCCGGTTGAGAAGGAGCACAAGGCTTCTTTCTTCAACTGGTTCTACTTTTCCATCAACGTTGGTGCCTTGATTGCTAGCTCTGTGCTGGTTTGGGTCCAGGACAATGTGAGCTGGGGATGGGGTCTTGGGATTCCAGCCATAGCCATGGCGATTGCTGTTGTTAGCTTCTTTACAGGTACACGGAAGTATAGATATCAGAAACCTGGAGGCAGCCCTCTAACACGAATCTGTCAGGTGATGGTGGCCTCCTTCAGAAAGTACAGAGTTAATGTCCCCGATGACAAATCCCTTCTCTATGAGAATGCCGATTCTGAATCCAATATTGCTGGCAGCCGCAAACTTGACCATACCAAAGACTTCAGGTAAATCATTGACATCGAACTAGTTTCTAGGACTATATAGACCCAAAGTTTCCTTCCCACCTTGACCCTCTTCATGCACAAGAAATGTTTTGAGTTACTGGTTTCAATTATTTAACTCTGCATTATTTAACAGTTTCCTGGACAAGGCAGCTGTGGAGACAGAGAAAGACCAGATAAAGGAGTCTACAGTCGACCCATGGAGGCTCTGCACAGTAACCCAAGTGGAGGAATTCAAAGCAATTATCCGCCTGCTCCCCATATGGGCGACTGGGATAGTGTTTGCAGCAGTGTACAGCCAAATGAGCAACCTCTTTATCCTCCAAGGAGACACAATGGACAAGCGAGTTGGCCACTCCAAGTTCAAGATCTCGGCAGCAAACGTCTCAGTGTTCGACACACTCAGCGTCATCTTCTGGGTCCCCATCTACGACAGGATCATCGTCCCGGCTGTCAGGAAATTCACAGGCCACAAAAATGGGTTCACCCAGCTCCAACGGATGGGAATCGGGCTCGTCATCTCCATCTTCGCCATGGTCTACCCGGCAATCCTGGAGCTCATAAGGCTGCGGATGGTGAGGGAGCACAACTACTATGAGCTCGACTCTGTCCCCATCTCCATATTCTGGCAGGTCCCGCAGTATTTCCTGATCGGGTGTGCTGAAGTGTTCACCTTCATCGGGCAGCTGGAGTTCTTCTACGATCAGGCGCCTGATGCAATGAGGAGCTTGTGCTCGGCTCTTTCCTTGACGACTGTGGCACTGGGGAACTACCTGAGCTCCCTGCTGGTCACCATTGTTACTGGTTTGACCACCAGAGGAGGTAAGCCTGGGTGGATTCCTGATAACTTGAACTATGGGCACGTGGATTACTTCTTCTGGCTGCTGGCGGTTCTTAGCGTTGTCAACTTGGTGGCGTTTATGGTGATTGCTAACTGGTATACGTACAAGAAGCCTGTGGGTACTCTGCGCTGATGTTATTTTCTTCTTGCTTGCTTGTTTGTGAAGGAACACTGGTGTAAATAGACTTATCATTTATACGATGGTATTTTCTTGTTTGTTGTGTTTAATAATTTCTTTCTTTCAAAAATTATATTGTCAAAGAAATAGCTAGCAGTGTAATTTGGATTGATTGATGCTCTTACATACCGTGTACCTCACGTAAACCATCAACTTGATATCAACTATACTTTGGTATTTGCATAATGTGGAATGATGGAGGTTTCTATTCTTCTATAAATAGTTCGGACTTCTGAGAATACCACTGGGCAAATAGGCAAGTCTCTTGCCAGTAGGGATGGCAATTAGGAATGGAAATGGGCAGGTCCGGGGCGGATTTCTCGATATTCATACCCACCCCATGGTAGGTCGGGTCCAGGTCGGTAATTTATCACGGGGTGCGGATCAGGGCAGGTCGACCCAATGGGTACATAATTTATGCGAAAAACATTAGAACTATTCGTTATTTTCACTAAAAGACCAAAAAAAACCATAATATGATAAAATGTAGTTAAATTATTTAAGAAATTGGTGTTTTCACTTATTTACAAATTTATTATAGCTAAAATATAATGTAATAAAAGGAAAATGCGAAGTAATTTTACTAAGATTACATGTAATTTAGGCAAGAACAGGTCGAGAATGGGGCGGGTCAGGGCAGGTCGGGTCGATGAGAGGTACCCATGCCCGCCCCGCCTACGGGGCGAGTCCGACCTGCCACAAAACAAGGCAAACAGATCGGGTAAACCGGGTCAGGTCTAAATTGCCATCCCTAATGGCAATGGTCGGGTTGGGGCGGGTTTTGTCAAACTCAAACCCATGGGTTTATCCGCCAAAAAAACCAGGGTAAAACCCGCTGGGTTTGAAAACCTCAAACCCAACCCAACCCACTGGGTATCCGTGAGTTTTTGTGGTAAAAATTTTACAATAATAAGTTTCTTTCAAAATAAAAGTTTAACATCAATCTTCTCATACAAATTATTCATACAAAAAACACTAATCTAGAGCATACAAGCAAACCGCAAATGATCAATACAAATTGTTCAAAATTAAAGATAACATCTATAAACAATAAGATTAATTGAAAGTTTCTTCCTCGTCAACTAAGTTTCTTCACTCTCCACTTCATAATATCAACTTCATTCTAAACAATTACAAAGAACAAATTATACATGTCTCCACAAACATAAAGAATATTAGTTGTTTAAGGATGATATATTATTTAGAATATTAAATATACCGGGAAAGTAATTATATGTGTGTGGGCGGATACCCATGGGGCGGGTTTACCTAAATCCAAACCCAACCCGACCCGGTGAATAGTGTAACGGGTTGAAACCCAAACCCGTCAACACGGGTTTTACCCACGTTAACCGGGTTGGATCGGGTGGGTACCCGTGGGTTCGGGTTTTGTTGCCATCCCTACTTGCCAGTAGTTTCAAAATATGGAGCAAACCCAATTTTTGTCTGGTTGTGGAGAATGGGACAAAAGAAAGTGGTATTCCTTTCTCTTCTCTTCTTGGTGCCAAAACGGCAATTATCTGTGGAGCAGGGAATGATGGTGAGATAGAAGAAGCCAGTTAAAAAGGATAGTGTGACTGTGTGAGCCCGTTTTGGATTCTCTGTTTAACCGCCCTTTTTTGTTTTCTTCTGTTTCATTTGTTAATACTTTGATACAGTACTGGAAGTTAAGGGGCTGTATAGTCTTTCACCCGGCAATCTACGGCCTTCATCATGATCGAACTCGACTCACATGCCACAGAAGATAGATTCATGCTCTATTTTCCTAGTACCATTCTCTTGGATATTAGAATTCTGAGGTTGGAAAGCAAAACTGGGTTTTTTCTATTTCATCTAACACTGAATTCTGATCCAGGCAGGCAATTTCCCCTTCTTCATCTGAGGGCTAAAGAGATCAGTGATTGCTGCAGATGGCCACAGAAGAGGAGGAATTTCTCACCAAAGATGGGACTGTGGATTATGAAGGGAATCCTGCTGATAAGAGGAAAACTGGAACCTGGAAGGCCTGCCCCTTCATCATAGGTATGCTATCCTTCTGACTTTAAGACACTTAAACTAGAGTCTGATGGGTCATGGGAAAAGAACAGATTTTGCTCCTCACTAGTGCAAAACTTAATTTGATATATACAGGAAATGAATGCTGTGAGAGATTGGCTTACTATGGCATGAGCTCCAACCTCGTGCTTTACTTCAAGAACAAGCTCAACCAAAGCAGCGCCACTGCTACCAAAAACAACTCTAACTGGGGTGGAACATGCTACATTACACCTCTCCTAGGAGCATTTCTAGCCGATGCTTATCTCGGTAGATACTGGACGATTGCTGGTTTCTCAATCATCTATGTTTTCGTAAGCTCTCCCTCTCCTCCATTTACCCGTGAATGAATGATTTCCATTAACTGAACATAAAAAAAAAAACACTTCACCAGGGGATGACGCTTCTGACTATGTCAGCATCAATGCCTGGCCTGAGACCAGCATGTACTGCAGAGGACAAGTGCCAATCCACTGATGGCCAGAGCGCGGTTTTCTTTGTAGCTCTCTACATGATAGCTCTGGGAACGGGTGGGATCAAACCTTGTGTGTCTTCCTACGGGGCTGACCAGTTTGATGATGCTGACACGGTTGAGAAGGAGCACAAGGCTTCTTTCTTCAACTGGTTCTACTTTTCCATCAACGTTGGTGCCTTAATTGCTAGCTCTGTGCTGGTTTGGGTCCAGGACAATGTGAGCTGGGGATGGGGTCTTGGGATTCCAGCCATGGCGATGGCGATTGCTGTTGTTAGCTTCTTTTCAGGTACTCGAAAGTATAGGTATCAGAAACCTGGAGGCAGCCCTCTCACGCGTATCTGTCAGGTGATGGTGGCCTCCTTCAGAAAGTACAGAGTTAGTGTCCCCGATGACAAATCCCTCCTCTATGAGATTGCTGACTCTGAATCCAACATCTCCGGATACCGAAAACTTGACCATACCGAAGACTTCAGGTAAACCATTACCATGGTACTAGCTAATAGAAGTAGAATGTTTGAGTTACTGATTTCAATTCTTCAACTATGCATTTTAACAGATGTCTTGACAAAGCAGCTGTGGAAACAGAGAAAGACCAGATAAAGGAGGCAGCAATCGACCCATGGAGGCTCTGCACCGTAACCCAGGTGGAGGAATTCAAGGCAATCATCCGCCTGCTCCCCATCTGGGCGACTGGGATAGTGTCCGCTGCAATGTACAGCCAAATGGGCAACCTCTTTATCCTCCAAGGGGACACAATGGACAAGCGATTGGGCCACTCCAAGTTCAAGATCTCAGCAGCGAACGTCTCGGTGTTCGACACACTCAGCGTCATCTTCTGGATCCCAATCTACGACAGGATCATCGTTCCGGCTGCCAGGAAATTCACGGGCCACAAAAACGGGTTCACCCAGCTCCAACGAATGGGAATCGGGCTCGTCATCTCCACCTTCTCCATGGTCTGTCCGGCGATCCTGGAGCTCATCAGGCTGAGGATGGTGAGGAAGCACAACTATTACGACCTCGACTCGGTCCCCTTCTCCATATTCTGGCAGGTCCCGCAGTATTTCCTGATGGGCTGCGCTGAGGTGTTCACCAACATTGGGCAGCTGGAGTTCTTCTACGAGCAGGCGCCAGATGCAATGCGGAGCTCGTGCTCGGCCCTTTCCTTGACGACTATAGCGCTGGGGAGTTACCTGAGCTCCCTGCTGGTCACCATTGTTACTGGTTTGACCACCAGAGGAGGGAAGCCTGGGTGGATTCCTGATAACTTGAACTATGGACACGTGGATTACTTCTTCTGGCTGCTGGCGGGTCTGAGCTTCGTCAACTTGGTGGCATTTGTGGTAATTGCTAGACGTTATACCTACAAAAAGCCAGTGGGTACATTGCGTTAGTAGCTATTCTGTTTGCTTGTTTGTGAAAAAACGAAGGTGGTAAATCACCAGAGCAAGTTTTCTCAAAATTTCGATTTTGAATAGCTATTTATCCTCTTTTGCAGTCCGATTTTGACACATTGACACTTCCATGATCCATCGGATGATTTCATAGGTTTGTGATAGAAACCTATTTCTAGGATTCTATCGGTTGGGTTGGGAAATTGGAAATTGAAGGATTTAGAGATAAAATTAGGGATTTAGAAGAAAATTTAGAACAGAATGGTCGGCGGCCAGATTAGGGGGAGAAGAGAGTTTGAAAGGATTAGGAGAGATTAGGTTTGAAAGGATACTTTGATAATTCTTTCTTGATTGATTCTGACCAAATCCCAAAATACATATTTATAACGAAAGACTGGAAAAAGCTAATAGACTAACCTAACCTAATATGACTCAATGACTACTAACCATATCTAATAATACTAGCTTTTTACCCGCCCGTTGGGCGGTGCATTCGTATTGTTGTTTTATTTTTCGTTCTATTATTTTTTATAATTTATGTATATTAAACTATTATACATTGAATTGTTAATCTCACTTACTTGATTTTAGGTATTGTTACACACTTTTATATCTTTTTTTTATTTATGAAAATTTGATTTTATTAAATGAGCTCTCTGTAGACCTTTCTTTATTTATTTATAAGTTAGTATCGAACCCACAATTTAGGATATGAACATAATAGATTATCAATGTTTTAGCACACAATAGTGACAAAGAAGTTTAAAAATGAAGTAAGCAAATATGTTTCAATTAATAAAAAATAAGCAAAGAACTTTTCATTTCTTCTCCCTTCTCGTATGTTGGTATGATAATACATACTATCGCGCTCTAAATCCCACGAACATCGTGCACTATTAGTTACTTGTGCAATTTTAGAAGAATGAGAAAACTCATTAGCATCCACATCATCAATCTTCTGCTTATTCATTTAATTTATCTTTGAAATGTTCTAGCAAAACCAACAAAAAATAGAACTATTAGTTGTCGCTAATTTATTAAAAAAATATTTTTCAGCAAACTAAATTGCATATAAACTCAGTTTATATTTATAGAGAGCTACATACCCCCTTAAAAAAACCAATGGTGTATTATTTTTACCTAATAACAACATAGACGAATTGTAAAAACGGCATACTTCAATAAACCTCAACTCATTGTATCTTGTAAAATCTTCATTCATGAACACGGTTGATGCATCAATCCAAATAGTTGTTGTCAAGAAAACGATCAGGCCAAAATCAAGTTTTAGTTAGGGATTCAATTAGACAAAAATTCACGCTAAGAAAACAAACAAATGTTATTGCAAACGTGTAGAAATTGAAAGAACGTCGACATAGACAACTTAGAGACTACCACCACCATTTTCTTTCTTCTTCGCACCTTTATAAAATCTCACATGTGTTCCCTTCTACTTATAACCTCCTGCTATGTTTTACTTACTGACCAGATCATAATCATATAGCTAGTAGCATGTCACTCATGAACATAATAAACAACTCTAACAACTCTGCTTTCCATTTTATCATCCACAAAATTGGGATGCAATAGGCAAGTAAAATGATCAATTGTTGAACCAAAAGAGAGATACTCTAAGTCCAAGCAATAAACCATTCCAATTGTCTATTACATGTTTACATAAATGTATTAAACATAGAGAACCATAAACAACTACCTGAAAAACAAAGAAAAATACATTCATTGATTTGAGGAGGGAAATTTACGATCCAGCCATTGTAATCTGGAAGAAATTAAGAAACAAATGGAAAGAAGAGTTTAATATGGCTAGTCAACCACAAACAACCACATATCTCTCGGAAAAAGAGACCAGTTGTCAGCTACAGATCAAGGGTGAAGAGTGAGCAATGAGCAATCATCGACTTCATTCAATTCGTCTTCGCAATGACAGGACGAACTATTTTAGTTAATATTAAAATATATGTTACAGTTGCTCAATTGTTTCCCATCTAATCATTGTCTTATATAACTCCACCCTCGTATTCTCTTACAAATAGTAAAAACTCAATATGCCTTACAATTTCCTTTCCTGTATCTGTTTGAAAAAAGTAGAGAAAAGAAAAGCTAGAAATCTCATTTTGAGCAAATAAGAAGAGACGTTTGTTTGTTTTTATGGGGCTTGATCCAATTTTTTTATTTTTTTATTTTCAATATTGCGATTTATTTTTATAGAGAGAATTTGTATGAGAAAAGGGATATGAACAAACCAAAATGTTGCATTCCGTGTTATTAACTTAATTTATGTTTTATTTATAATGATGATAATTTAAAGAGTAAACAAAAAAGTATATAAGCAAGAATTAGAACTTGTCCACTGTGGAAGGGTGAGAGCTAGCCATTCGTTGATGTGACACTAATTTAGTTTTAAATTCCTATAATATTAAGTAATCAGGGTTTATAATTTTTTGAATTTTTTTATAAACTTTAAGAATTTATACAAATATTGTGACATTTCACATACATTTGAATACTCAGATTTATTATAGAAAAACTTATTGTAAATACAAATTGCTTACTGTTACAAAATAGAAAATTCCTATTTGATACTTTGATATTGAAAAGATTTTATTATTGCCAAAAGTTGGCATGGAGTCATAGACTCACACCATATAACCAAATGACTTTTTATAATTGCCTTATTAAGCTCATTCTTATTAGAGATGCTTCATTTTAACCCAATACCTTGATTTAAATTCTTGTAACTACAAAAGTTTTTGTGTAGATATTTCAACTAACACACTGATATTTATTTATAATCTCAATCCTCAAATTTGGTTTTGTCTAAAAGACATTCAACTATTAATAAAAATTGTCCAATCCTTATTTGATCAATTGCTAGGTTAGTGATTGATGAAATGTGATATTTATCATATTCTCTCAACAAAGATTCTTTTAACATTCACATGTGTCATTTTTTAAGGTATATTGTGTTTCGTCTTAAGCTATGAAGTCAAAGTTCGTCAACTCTTATACTTAAATCATTTTGAAAACTTTGATGTATATTCCTAGACAATAACTCTAAATCTGAAAAAAAAAAATTATTAGCATACTATTTATGACCTCAATTGAGCTTGCTCAACCAAAATCATCTAAATCAAATATTTTAATGTGAACTTTAACCAAATTATAAAATATTGCACATGTGATTACTTTTCATTTGAGAAATTTCAGGTTGAACATGAATATATGTTTTCATTTCATCAGGATGAATAGAAATATTTTTTAAGAAATTATTATTATTGCTTGATCAAGTTATATTTTGACAATTATTTTATTATATGAAATAATTTATTTATATAACAATTATTTTAATTGGTAGGCATATATAATATAAAGAAGAGAAGGTTTAATATATAAATTCATATATTTCATTTCTCAAATTTGATTGATTGTCAAATGCTTAATTTGTTTCTTTGTGTCACTATAATTTATTTAATAGACAAAGATATGATTATTTATGTGTGTACTTATATAAATTGTTCGTCAAAATGTAACTTATTATTAAGTTTTGGTTAAAATGAGTACATACTGTACTTGATAAGATTTAATCATATACTAAAAGAAGAGAGAGATAGCTTAATTGACAAAAAATATTATTATTTGTGTTTGTTTTTATTTACATTTCAATGTAACTTATTATTAATGTTGAGTAAAGTGAGCATAAATACTAAAAGAAGAGAGAGATAGCTTAATAAATAGATCAATAATAAATTTTTTTGTTAGTAAAAAAAATGTCCACCTAGGCAACTTGTTATTTCTCCAAGTGCTTATGTGGCAAAATGTTACTCTTAAATTGCCATAATATATAGTATAGATATAGATAGATAGATAGATTCTAATTATAGTAATTATGATAATTATGATAAAACCCGAAAATTGGGTTTCTATCATCCCCTCCCCCTTGAGACCAACCTTGTCCTCAAGGTTGATCGACTCGATCCATTTCTTCACCCGATCTCCCGTGTAGACTGCGCCTTGTCTCGTCCACTCCTCGCGCTTCCTTTTCTTCCAATCATGCTTCACTACTTGACTTGGGCTTCTTGCGTTGGCCTTCTTGTGGTGGTCCCAATTTTCGAAATTCACTTCCAAGGGCCCACTGTTTGCTTCTTTGTCGGGTTCAAACTTCAATAGCTTCTCGTTCTTTGGTCTCACACCCCAAAGACTTAGGAAATCCAAAGATACTTCTTGGTACAAGATGATGTCCTTAAGAACCAACTCATCAAGACCTTCAAAACGTTTTACTGAAGAAAGCCCATAAACTTCTCCTGATGTCTCTCTAATTGTGTGGGGGCTCTGTTCTCTCAAAACCCCACCTGCCAACTCATTAAACCCATCTTCTTTTTTTTTCCAAGCCCACCCACTTCAAGAGACAGTCTACCCTGGGCCCCATACTTCCTTGAAAATTCCACCCTACAACAATCTCTCCGTCAGCCCACTTCTTCATAATTCTAGGCCTGTAACTTATCCATGGCTCAACCCGAGTCATTTCAAACTCCGGCCCAGACTGCCTTTTACCTGACTCAGCACAAACTTGGATGGCAGAGCTTCGCGGCCCATTGAAAGATCAACGAGTACCAGCCCCCCTGCCGATTGGCTCGGCCTACCCAGGCCCAACCCTGTTGCCTTTGGTGTGCTGCCTGAACCAAGGATGACGCCCCAGGGTTCGTGGGAAGAAGGGACCTACCACCGCCCTCCTTCCTCACTTCTTCTTCGTCTCGCTGCTATCCACCGCCGTCTCCATCTCCGGCATCGATGGGCAGCAATGCCGGTTGCTCTCCGTATTGCCGGTCTCCGGCTCCGGTTTCTTGGTCTTCATCATCATGAGTTAAGCTGTTGGGGCTTGTGGTGCCCCTCTCCCGATTCTCATATTCGGCGACTGGTTTTCCTTCTTCTTCTCCAGCGACGCGAGAAGAAGCTCACTGACGCCTCCCTCCTCCATCTCC